CTGCCGTCGTGCAACGCCTGCTGGAAGTTCTTCATGGCTGCATGTGTGCTTGTAACGCACATGCTTATATCGAGTACAGATAAATGCTCTTACCTTCCTGCCGTCGTGCAACGCCTGCTGGAAGTTCTTCATGGCTGCATGTGTGCTTGTAACGCACATGCTTATATCGAGTACAGATAAATGCTCTTACCTTCCTGCCATCGTGCAACGCCTGCTGGAAGTTCTTCATGGCTGCATGTGTGCTTGTAACGCACATGCTTATATCGAGTACAGATAAATGCTCTTACCTTCCTGCCGTCGTGCAACGCCTGCTGGAAGTTCTTCATGGCTGCATGTGTGCTTGTAACGCACATGCTTATATCGAGTACAGATAAATGCTCTTACCTTCCTGCCGTCGTGCAACGCCTGCTGGAAGTTCTTCATGGCTGCATGTGTGCTTGTAACGCACATGCTTATATCGAGTACAGATAAATGCTCTTACCTTCCTGCCGTCGTGCAACGCCTGCTGGAAGTTCTTCATGGCTGCATGTGTGCTTGTAACGCACATGCTTATATCGAGTACAGATAAATGCTCTTACCTTCCTGCCGTCGTGCAACGCCTGCTGGAAGTTCTTCATGGCTGCATGTGTGCTTGTAACGCACATGCTTATATCGAGTACAGATAAATGCTCTTACCTTCCTGCCGTCGTGCAACGCCTGCTGGAAGTTCTTCATGGCTGCATGTGTGCTTGTAACGCACATGCTTATATCGAGTACAGATAAATGCTCTTACCTTCCTGCCGTCGTGCAACGCCTGCTGGAAGTTCTTCATGGCTGCATGTGTGCTTGTAACGCACATGCTTATATCGAGTACAGATAAATGCTCTTACCTTCCTGCCGTCGTGCAACGCCTGCTGGAAGTTCTTCATGGCTGCATGTGTGCTTGTAACGCACATGCTTATATCGAGTACAGATAAATGCTCTTACCTTCCTGCCGTCGTGCAACGCCTGCTGGAAGTTCTTCATGGCTGCATGTGTGCTTGTAACGCACATGCTTATATCGAGTACAGATAAATGCTCTTACCTTCCTGCCGTCGTGCAACGCCTGCTGGAAGTTCTTCATGGCTGCATGTGTGCTTGTAACGCACATGCTTATATCGAGTACAGATAAATGCTCTTACCTTCCTGCCGTCGTGCAACGCCTGCTGGAAGTTCTTCATGGCTGCATGTGTGCTTGTAACGCACATGCTTATATCGAGTACAGATAAATGCTCTTACCTTCCTGCCGTCGTGCAACGCCTGCTGGAAGTTCTTCATGGCTGCATGTGTGCTTGTAACGCACATGCTTATATCGAGTACAGATAAATGCTCTTACCTTCCTGCCGTCGTGCAACGCCTGCTGGAAGTTCTTCATGGCTGCATGTGTGCTTGTAACGCACATGCTTATATCGAGTACAGATAAATGCTCTTACCTTCCTGCCGTCGTGCAACGCCTGCTGGAAGTTCTTCATGGCTGCATGTGTGCTTGTAACGCACATGCTTATATCGAGTACAGATAAATGCTCTTACCTTCCTGCCGTCGTGCAACGCCTGCTGGAAGTTCTTCATGGCTGCATGTGTGCTTGTAACGCACATGCTTATATCGAGTACAGATAAATGCTCTTACCTTCCTGCCGTCGTGCAACGCCTGCTGGAAGTTCTTCATGGCTGCATGTGTGCTTGTAACGCACATGCTTATATCGAGTACAGATAAATGCTCTTACCTTCCTGCCGTCGTGCAACGCCTGCTGGAAGTTCTTCATGGCTGCATGTGTGCTTGTAACGCACATGCTTATATCGAGTACAGATAAATGCTCTTACCTTCCTGCCGTCGTGCAACGCCTGCTGGAAGTTCTTCATGGCTGCATGTGTGCTTGTAACGCACATGCTTATATCGAGTACAGATAAATGCTCTTACCTTCCTGCCGTCGTGCAACGCCTGCTGGAAGTTCTTCATGGCTGCATGTGTGCTTGTAACGCACATGCTTATATCGAGTACAGATAAATGCTCTTACCTTCCTGCCGTCGTGCAACGCCTGCTGGAAGTTCTTCATGGCTGCATGGGCGGCCGATCGGTTGCTGAAGAGAACACTTGAGCTGACAAGGGAAGCGGGGGGGAGTGGCGGAAGTGGGGGGAGGAAAGGAGGGAATTTTGGAGAGTGGAAGGAGGGTGGGTAAGCATGGCTGCATGGGCGGTTGGTTTGTTGCTGAAGAGAACACTAGGGCTGACAAGGGAAGGGGGGGGAGGTGGGGAGAAGTTGCGGCAAAGGAGGGGGCATGGTGAATGGAAGTTGGGGGAAAGTGCGTGGTGGGTGGAAGGCGGATGGAAGGTGAGTGGAAGGTAGGTGGAAGGTGGGGCATAGGTGCTCTAGTGAAGAGCCCCACAGCGTCCTTGCCCCATGCCCATGCCCATGCCCATGCCCATGCCCATGTCCATGCCCATGCCCATGCCCCACTGCCTCCTAGTTTTGAGCCGACTCAAAACTAGGCGTGGGTGAAAGTGAAGAGCCCCACTGCCTCCTAGTTTTGAGCCGACTCAAAACTAGGCGTGGGTGAAAGTGAAGAGCCCCACTGCCTCCTCGTACTTACCCTCACATGCCCATGCCCACCCCCATGCTTGACTTGACAGATGTTCCCACCCCTGACAAAAAGGCACATCTGGGGTCGGCTTGAATGGCTCGGCTAAATGGCTTCACTGCCTCCCTGTACTCGCCTCGGAAGGGGGTTGCATTGCCCTATGCCCCATTCTCCTAGGAACACCTGGGGTGGGGGAACACACACCTAGGGTACTGCTGGGAGAGGCACACCTGGGGTCGGCTTGAATGGCGCGAGTGAAGAGTCCCACTGCCTCCTCGTATTCGCCTCGAGAAAATGCTGCATTGCCTTGCTCTTTCAACTGGTGATGATGATGGCGCGCCATCGTGCCATCATGCCATCATGCCATCACGTTTCAGAAGATAAGATGCAAAAGGAGCAGCAGGTAAAAGAAACAAGGATGCATCATAGCGTGTTGCAATTCAGAGGATTCACAGGCAAAAGAACGGCATTTCTAGACGGTTTCTTAGGAGGCCCAGAATCGCCTCACTTCACATCGTATTTAAACCACAAACCTCCCCTTCCCCTTCTCCTCCCCTTCTACCCTGCTTCTCCTCCCCTTCCCCTTCCTCTTCTCCTCCCCTTCCCCTTCCCCTTCCTCTTCTCCTCCCCTTCCCCTTCCTCTTCTCCTCCCCTTCCCCTTCCTCTTCTCCTCCCCTTCTTCCCCGCTTCTCCTCCTAAAAAAGGGTGACTTATTAGGCGCCTCAGAAATCATATCGTCTCCAGGTCTAGGGTTCAGACTTCACATTGTATGTAAACCTGGAGGAGAAGGGAAGGTCCATCTCACGTCAGAAGACGAAACTCCCCTTCTCCACCAGGTTTACCCAGCAAGACCATTTCAAAAGGAACCCACCTTCGTACCTCATTCGCTGACTGTGCTGCTTCCCCATCCCCCATTCTTCGTTTCCCCTACTAACTCTTTTCACTCTTCGACTCCCCCACCCCTTTTCTCCAGCAAACACATTTGAAGAGCACCCACCTTCGTACCTCAGTCGCTGACTGTGCTGCTTCTCCATCATCCCCTTCTCTCCCTGCTCCCCCTTCTGCTCCTCCCTCACGCTCATCATACACAATGGTTGCCCCTTGAAGCTCCTGATAATCAAGAAACAACAAAAATATATACATCTAGCAAACACATATATATTCTTCATTGCAAAACTTATGACAGTATTTTCAACGAAGGAAACACGAAACATGATTTGTAATCGTTGCTGAAGGGGATTTTTTCTTTCAATGATAAACATGAAATCAGAAATTATAATGTGATGAAAATGCAATAGCAGGAAGGAGTGCCACATGGCATTCACTAATAGTGCCACATGGGATTCACTCACAGTGCCACGTGGCAAGAAGAACAAGAAACTCACATCCTCAAAGTCCTCTTTTGGGCGGCACGTGAGGCATTTGATGCAGTTTGCGTGATGCAAGTTTTTGTGCGCGAACACGCACGCTCGCTCCCACGCGCGCGCGCGCGCACACACACACACACACACACACAAACACACACCCTTCCATCCACCCATCCGCCCACCCACACCGCATGAATACACACCCACCCACCCACACCCATACACACGGCATCATGCATGCATACATAGCAGAAGAGACACACAGAGCAATGCGTTTAGAGGCGTTTAATGGACTCTAGGGGCGTCTAGACGCGTTTGGGGGCGTTCGAAGGCTTTCTGAGGCATCTCAAAGTATTAAAACTGAAGAAGAATATCAACAGCACAATTCATCGCTGCAAAGAAAGCACCATGTGTCATGTACTCATGTACTCATGTACTTATCTGAAATACAGAAAGCAGAAACAATGTGATTATTCAATTTCCACCTACCACTCTGCGCACCCGCCCGCCCACATACCTTCCCACCCGCTCACCCACCGCCGCCAACCTACCCTACCTCCAACACGAAACCCCCACGTCTAACCCTCCCCTAACACCAGCCACCACTCGCCATCATCATCAGTGGCTTCCCCCTCCCCCCCCCCCCCCGTGCTGCCCCCTCCCCCCCCCCTGCTGCCTCGTTCCCACCACCCGCCCCCCCGCCAAATCCCCCTTCCCCTTTCCCATGACTCTCCATCCCCATCCACATCACCAGCCACCACCCACCCACCCACCCACCCACCCACCCACCCACTCACCATCGTCATCATCATGTGCAATCCGCCCTCCTGGCCCCCCACCCATGTCGCCTCCTCCCCTTCCCCTTGCCTGTAGCCCCATCCCCATCCCCATCCCCATCCTCATCCCCATCCCCATCCCCATCCCCATCCCCATCCCCATCCCCATCCCCATCCCCAATCGCCACCCCCATCCCCACCACCCACCCACTCATCATCATCACCATGTGCCATTTGCCCTGCGTTTCCTGCCCCATCCCCATTACTCGCCCACCCATATTCCCAACCCCATCACTCCCCACAACACGCCACCCAATTCCCACCCCCATCCCCATCCCCCACTCACCATCGTCATCATGTGCCATCTGCCCTCCTGCTGCCTGCCATACCCCCACCACTCCCCCCACCACTCCCCCCACCACTCCCCCCCACCTGCAAGCTCATTCCTATCACCACCCCCATCCCCATCCCCACCCCCACCACTCCCCCCCACCCGCAACCTCATCATTCCCATCACCACCCCCACCCCCACCCCCACCCCCATCACCACCCCCATCCCCATCCCCCATCCCCATCCCCCATCCCCATCCACATCCCCATCCCCATCCCCCATCACCACCCCCATCCCCATGCCCCACTCACCATCGTCATCATGTGTTGTCTGCCTTCCTGCTACCGCTCCCCCTACCCCCCCCGCTCCTCCTCCTGCTTCCTCCCCCTCTCCCCCTTCCCCCTCCCCTTCCCCCTCCCCTTCCCCTCCCCCCATATCCCGCACCACCTTCTGTCCCTCGCGCTTCTCTATCAGATGCTCGTACTTCTGGAGAGGGGGGAGGAGCAGGGGGGAACGGTCAGCCTGGAATAACGCTCACTGTACCGTACTGCACCCCGCACAACCTTCTGCTTCTCTATCAGATGCTCGTACTTCTGAAAATGGGGGGAAATGGAGGGGGGAATGGGGGGAGAAATGCAACTATCACGATCAAAACTCATTCTGCCCCTCCCGCTTCTCTATCAGATGCTCATACTTCTGGAAACGGGAGGATGGGGGAAAGGGGAACGGTCAGCCTGTACCGTACCGGAATAGCTCACTGTACCGTACTGCATCCCACAGAACCTTCTGCCCCTCCCGCTTCCCTATCAGATGCTCGTATTTCTGGAAATGGGGAGATGGGGGATAATGGGATAGAGGGACAGGGGGGATAGGCGGATAGCGGGATAGGGGGATAGGGGGGAAACACAATGCAGCTAGCACCGATTGAAACACCTCCTGCCTCTCACACTTCTCTATCGAATGACTGTATTTCTGGAGAGGAGGGGGAGGAGTGGGGAGCGGAAGGGTGGAGACATTGGGGGGTATGGCAGGCGGAAGAGCCGGATAAGCGCAGCAAGCGGGGAAAGCGCACGGGCGGAAGCGCAAAAGGTGGGGGAAGCGCAAGGGTGGAAGCGCATCAGGCGGGGGTTGCGCAACGGCGGAAGAGCATTAAGCGGGGGAAGCGAAAAAGCGGAAGCAGCACCTGCAGGAACTTGGGGATGTGGCGCACATATTGCGGGCCCTTGCGCGCGCTTCCCCCGGCCGTTCCGCCTCCGCGGAAACTCATGTTCTCGGCGGAACGGCGCACAACAGAAGGTGGAGAGGAGCGGATGAGGCTGAAAGGGCGGAAGTTACGGAATGGCGGAAGTGGCGGAAACAGACAGGCTAGGAGCGGAATTGTTGAAAGTTGACTTGAGATAAAAGGGTTGGTATGCGAAATTCTCAGCCAAAGGAGTGCTACGTCAAACGGGGTGCCAACGCATATACAGGAAATCTACATGTTCCGGCGAAGGCGGGGCAATGAAGCTACTGTCGAGCCTGCTTCTGGTTTTGCCGAGGATCGATCCGTCAACGCACTCAACCGTACCATAACGCAGAATAACGTAGAAAGTCGTAAATATACCCGACTTGGGAATGACCTCGAGAATCCAGCTTCATCCATATTGCACAAGGTTTGGAAGACTAGGGTATACAGTGCGGTGGGGCGGATACTACAGAGCTTGGTGAAGCTACTCCCTAATCCTAATCTGCTCTATGAACCATTTCAGGAGAAATATTGTACTCTGCGTTGATAAGCCTTTATAACGTAAGAACAAGCAGTTGTTTTGATTTCAGGTAGGCATAAGGCATGCAGTATAACCATAACCAACTCTGAACCTCTACACTGAAGTTACTAGCTTAGCATACCCTAAATTTTAGGGATCGGAAACTCCTGCTAAAAACAGTAACCATCAAACCCTATGACCCGGTTTTTTCAACCCTATACCTGGTCACCTGGACAAACCACTGAAAAACAACCAGCCCTGTCAGAGACTCAGAGAACCAGACACTTAGAAACCTTCTACCTACTCAGAACTCCCTGGGGCCTGCCTGGGTACCTAGCATTGCCGCTGTCACCCCCGCTCTTCAGCATCATTCACATTAACCTCTCTGGCAGAGCTCCTTTCAATTACCACTCCAAACCCTTACCTCCTCCACTCGCATTTCCCCTAGACCTTTTTGCTAAGCATTGTAAGCGTGCACGTGTCGTTAATGTACTGTAGAGATGCGGGGTTAATGTTCACCACGCACTCCAGCAGCTGCGAGTATTTCGGCTGGATGATCTTCCACGCCACGTCCACGTGGCTGTTGAGCGTCGCGTTCAGCTTCAGCGGAACGAACTGCTCCGCCATGTCCGCGCGCATGAACGTCCCCCCTGCGTACAGCGGAAACGCCATGGTTGAGAGCGAGCGGTTGAAGCTGGACCACTCGAGTTGCTCCTGCTGGAAGGTCGGCAGCTGGTGGTGGGGCGGGGGAGGGAGGGAGGGGAAGAGTGGGAAGGGGGACAAAAGAGAGAGGGAATGGAGGGGAGAGGGAGAAAGGTAAATAAAGGGAAACGCCATGGTTGAGAGCGAGCGGTTGAAGCTGGACCACTCGAGTTGCTCCTGCTGGAAGGTCGGCAGCTGAGATAAGGGAACGAGGGGGAGGGAAATGGTTAGAAGGAAGAGGGGGGGGAGGGAAGCGGTGAGTTTTTGGGGGAGGGAAAGAGGAGAGGAATGGGCGAGGGAAAGGACAACGATGGTGGATAGGTGGGTGTGGAGGTTGGGGAGAAGTGACGAGGCGTGAAAGTCGGCAAGGTGGGAGTCGGCTAGGTGGGAGAGTGAATTCGGGATGTGATCTGGTCGCATGAGTCAGTGGGAGTGTGTGTGGAAGTGAGTGTGAAGGTCACTGAGTGACAGGGTTAGTGACCAGACGTGTGTGTAGTGAGTGGAGAGTGAGAACACGAGGGTGAATGAGAGAAAGAATGAGTGGACTCGTGTTTGAAAGGGATTGATGGCTCCCACGTTAGCTTCATGGTATTTGCCATGTTGTGGTGAGCGAGTGAGTGACCGTTGGCCCTTACCGTTGTCTTCATGATATTCGCCATGTTGTGATAGCTGATGGAGAGATCGCCGCCGTCGAACCACGTGTTAAACCGCGTGTTGGGGTTGCGTATAGAGAAGATGAACGTCATGTTGGCGTACAGATGGTCCGTCGCCATTCCGTTACCGTCAAGCATGTCCTGGTATACAGTAAACTGGTTCACCGCCACGTACTGTACACAAGGAAATATCACCAACAAAATAAAGCATGAGAAACTGGATAACATTACAACGCGATTTGGGGAACGAGGAGAGTGAGGCGCGCGCACCAGGCCTTGAGCACGGCCGCGATGATATTGAGCGGGAATTGGCGCGAAGCGTAAGAGGATGTGAGCTCTTATGAATGGGACACTGAAGCAGCAGCTCATGAACTATCGGGACTGAAACCAAACAAGTAAAGTTCAACGTACGTCGAAAGTGTACGTTGGTTCCGTCGGTTGGAAGATGATCCAGCACACGATCGCGCCTGCGACCAGCAGCAGTCCGACGATCAACGACGTATACGCCCAGAATGCGATCCACCACTTGCGTCGCCGGTCCGCGTCGCGCAGGTGATCCGGGTAAAAATCGTCGTAGTCGTCGTCGCCGTCGCCGCCGTTGATCGCAACGGACGCGCCCCCTCGTCCGGATCGCATGCTCCGCGCGTCTTCGTCGCCGAAGCGCGGCGACGACGGCGCGGACGACCCGGGCGAGCTGAAAAGCCCCGCGCGGTCGGAATGCGCGGGCGTCTGCACGAAATAGGACGCGGTCGGGCGGTAGGGCGACGCGGCGGGGATGGAGCTTCCGCCGACAGAACCGGGGCCCGTTCCGAACCCGTTATAGTGTCCTGGAGTCTCGACGGTATACCCGGGGTTTTCATACTGCGGCGCGTAGTACGGGCCTCCGCCGCTGCGGTTGCTGCGTGCGGGCGAGGCGCCGGGGGAGCAGTTTGAGTCGCTATAGGCGTGCGACGCGGACGGCTCGCGACGCACCCACGAGGGGTTCTGGCTGCTAGAGCTGGTGGCTTTAGAGGCCTTCGGGCCGCCGTATAACGGGTTGGGGCGCGGCCCGTTGTAGGAGTAATTGCTCCGCTCAGACATGGCGACTAGTATCTACTTGGACAGAGGAGGCAGGAACTAGGGTACGACGTGTAACGAAGAGATTGGAGAGCACTGAAGGACGTACTAGTCTAGATAAATGTGTTTGGAAGTGTTCTCTGTGCCAGTGCTGGCCGTGGACTGAGGAACGGAATGTCTTGTCATAGGAAGTCGAGAAAAAGGCTGGCGCACAACAGCGCCTTCCCTTGTTAGATAAACGCGGAGGAGGTTCGTCAATGGCGGGAAAGGAGGAGGGGTTGGGGAGGCAGACAAGGGGGGCTGCGGGAAAGGGGCACAAAGGGATGGGAGAAGAGGGGGAATAAGCAAGAGCGATGCAGTTGTGGAATTCAAACCAGCACGACGGACTCGACAATGAGCATATGTAATGCGGTGGAGTGTGTTTTTTTCACGTACTGAAGCGGCTCCATTGCACTATAGAACGTTTGGGCGGGGTACTAACAAAATATTTACACATCAGGGACATGCCCATGCGGAGCGGAGCTCTGTTTGCAAGGTGCTCGTCGTGGCTCGTGGGTTTGAACCGTTGGCAGTAGGGTTTGGGTTGGCTTGGGTTGGGGGGCGGGGGACGAAAATTCGTCGAGGGGAGTCTCACTGCGATGCACGGCTCGAGCTGGGTGCGGAAACAAATTCGCTGTGTTTGCCCCTGGAAGCAGATATGCGAAATAAAATCTGGTAACTTATAAGTTTTCGCGCGGTTTACGAAAGCACTGCCGTGTTCCTCAAGGCGCGGAGAGATGCGAGCGAGGTGAGAACCTCGAGCAGGAGACCAGATGGCGTGCTGTTTGATTGGTTGGCTTCGGTGTTCGCTTTTCGGCGATGGCGTTTCCGGACCGGGCGGGCAGCTGGGAGTGCTAGGCTAGCACATGATGTGCAGTTTGCCCTGCCTGCCACCACGCAAACCAAGAACCAGAAGAATTCGTGGATTCCAGCGAAATGGTGCGGAGGAGAGACGGTTCGAACCGACATGTCAGCGGCGAGTGATCCGAAGCCGCGATGGCGGCTTGTCGCCTGACCAGGCTGGTCAGTGAGCGCTTCCCCTGCCAAACGGTAAACATGACTGCAAGTCTCGTTAAAGAGAAGCCTTACGGCGAAGTGGGCTTCAAAATACACTTGCGACAAAACAAAAACAAATACAATCAAGCTACCCACAATCAAATAGGATGCCTTGCTCAAACGCAATTGTGCAATCAATGTGTCAACATTATCATTGCCTGCTGTCTCAAATTACCCTAGCGGAGTATTCGAACATGAATGACGAATCAACAAATCAACAAATCATTATTATTCCACTAAACGACATGTCGTTTGTCTCGTGCTACAAAATCTGCACTCTACTTTCAGGCAACTTTCCACTTGGCGATTTAGGGTGGAACCTTGTTTCCTTCAAGAAGCAGCTGCATAGCGAGAAGCCACATCCTTCCAGTTGATGATCTTCCAAATGTTCTTCAGGTAGTCGGGGCGAACATTTTTGTACTGGAAAAACACAAAGTCCAAATACACGACGAGAAAACAGGAAGACAGGGACAATATTAGGCATCCGTACTGGAATGCAGGTCTTGCTAATGAAAACCAGCACCTGCACCTGTGGATTTTCTTTGTCCCAGTGCTCTTTATGGTACCCAAATTTTCTGCATGACGCATTAGTGGCACTAGCAGTAATAATAAGAATAGGTACATAGCGGAAGAGGATCTTACCTGAAGGTAGTAGGCATGCTCCCAGACGTCAACACCCAGTAGAGGCACGTGGCCTGTAGTCACACACGCGTCCTGATTGGCTGTCGTGACAATCGCCAGCTTCTTCCGGTCATTAAGGCCCAACCACTGGGGGAAACAAGTGGACAAAATGACACAGTGGGGGCAAACTTGTTCTGAGAAGGAAGGAAGAAAAACAAAAGAGTTCCTTTCTCAAAGGCAGAATCACTGGAGGGGGAAAGGAGACAGTGTGAGCTTTTCTTCTTTCCAAAGCTTCAGAAATGCCCCCCCCCCCTTTCCTATCTCTAGGGAGACCCACCGTTTCGATAGATCCATCCAGGCTCCTGCCAGCGTCAGCAGCACTGAACTCGGGCGTCCAATGACCCAAACTCGTGCTCGTTCCAATCACACAAAATGAACTCCCAACACAATACGATTCCACCAGTTAGTCACTCACCACCCATCCGGACCCCTGCACGCCAGCACCAGCAGCATTGATGGACGCAAAAGCGTCCAGCGACCCAAACTCATGCCTTACAGTGACACAGTACAATCCCATTCAGACAATCCCACCCAATACAGTCACTCACCACGGAACCTCGCACTCCAGCGCCAGCAGCATTGGTGCAGCAACCCAGAATCGGGCAGTAAAGTCAAAAGAAGTACACTCTCAACTGGATCAACATCCCACCCGTTACAGTCACTCACCACCCATCCGGACCCCTGCACGCCAGCACCAGCAGCATTGAACTTGGAGACAAGGGCGTCCAGCGACCCAAACTGGGCGTCAATGGCTGCCGCTAAAGCACCCTCGGGTGGCGCTCCCCCTCCCTCCTGTGAGAACACGCAGGATATGATAAAGGGGAGAGGAAGAACTGGTACTTGGGTTTGCTGGAATTTAGAGACAAGGGCGTCCAGCGACCGAAACTGGGCGTCAACAGCTGCCACTAGAGAGCCTTCGGGTGGCGCCCCCCCCCCCTCCTGCGAGGGCAAGACAAAGCGAGGGGGGGAATAAAGGATTGGTATGGATGTGTAATTAGATTCGACATCCAAAAATTGTCTTCTGAAAACACGCAGGACAAGACGAAGGGGAGAGGAGAAATTGGTGTTGCGATGTCTTCGGATTGGTGTTAGCCAGGCTGTGGCGGACGAATCAGTCTGGAGAATTTATGAAGATTGGTCACAAATCTAGTAGGAACTGTGAAATTGTACACATGAAGGAAGGAGGTATCAGAATACGGAGAAACCGGAATTGGAGGGAGCAGAAGTCTTACACTGATAGGGGCGAGGTTCTTCCAGAAGATGCTGTGATTCACGTGGCCTGCACGCAACGAAGGGTCGCACACAGAACACGTTAGCACAGCCGCACGCTGTCAAAAGAAAGGCTGCACGCTGTCAAAAGCACAGTCGCACAAGTCATTGCCGAACAAGACCTTGTTGCAATGTGTCACACAAAGGCACAGTCGCACAGTCAGTGCCCTAAGACCCACACATTCCCATGCACAGCAACGGACACACAGGTGGAGACTAACTCAAGCATGACAATTACTTCGACAATCCATTGCAACCTTTGCAACTCTGAATTCATATTCTTCATGGCGATACATCTGTATAGCATGCATGCAACTCCTTCCGCCATGTTTTTTCTTGAATTTTGCCCAAAGGTATCCTCGGTGCTCATCCTTCGCTCAATCTTGAGCGTCTCCGCTCCGTCTCTGATCCGTTCTTCTCTGAATGTCCATTTTCTCATTATTTCGCGAAACGTGCACAAACACAATTCACCCGCTCGTCGCAAATTTCGTCTCTCGTCAACCTATTACGGACGTGCGTACCCAGCCAAGTGTTGAACGCTTGGAAATATGAGACGCGAGCAGTCGGTTTATGCAATAAAGACAAAGCAGTGCTTAGTAATACTCTCAACTCTTCAAATCCGGTGCTCGTTCATGGATTTAATCTCCCGGCTTACCTCCGCCGTTAAAGTTGATCGCTCGTTGGAGCGACACCACCGTCTCCGTGTCGCCTTTCCCCCGCGCTGCGTCCAACTGTTCCACGGCCTTGTTGTAACCCGCCACGTAAGCAGCGTGGTGCTTCGCGTGATGTAACTGCATGATCTCGCCGCTCACCACCGGCTCCAGCGCGCCATAATCGTACGGCAGATCTGGAAGGCTCGCCACGATCGGACGGCTGGTATCACTCGCCGCCGACGCCGCGAGGCCACGCCCGCCTCCTGCACCGCCAAGTGCGGCGAGTTCTGCGGGAGCTGCCGCTTTGAGCGACTTTCCCGCGGAGAGCAGCTGGCGAGAGGCGATGCGCATCATTTCCCGCGAAAAACGCTAAAAAGGATAAAATTGAACAAAATTTTGAAACGTAAGAGACTGAGCACGAGGCGTTGCGACAGGAGGGAACACTGTCGTCGAGGAGAGAAAGACGAACTGACACGAGGCCAGGAGCTACTAGTGAATGCTAGCAACACGCCCGTATCAACAAAAAAGTGAAGTTAACTTGCGACCTGAAACTGAATTCAACATCCAGAAGTGTGCTGTCATGGCGCTTATGAATTGGTGCCGCGAGTGTGAGTCGCCCAACCCCGCCCCAACGCCGCCAGTTCAGATACAGACAATGCACCAGACCCAATCTCTTAAGACCGTACATTGTTCACTTGGAACCCCGGAGGAGGCAAAGTTGCGGGGGAAAACGGCGGGCAGAGGGAACGCGTTCAGTACCAAGCCAAGTGAACTACCCGCTGTGCTTCTTTCGGTTTCTCGTGTGGAGATTTTAAAAAAACTTGTAAACTTGGAGGATCAACCCTCGAGTCGTCTAGTGTAACTGCGGCTTAATTAAGAGGTTCTCACAGGTGCTCAAATCTCGTCCTACGCAATGTATCTGTTGCTGATGTGGCACGAGCCCACAAACCTTCGCCCATCGCTTGGAGATCCTGCATGCATGATTCGAGTTCACGGATGCTGACGTCTGCATGGTGACAAGCGGCTCACGCTCATTCGGCAAGCTCCAACCGCCATAACTTATTGTTTGGCCGATGCATTACTATGTAAAGAGTAAAAGTATGTATGTACATGCCAACGGTTGTGTTGTTAGCCTAAAACATGTTCGGTACATCTGCTGTTTTTCTGTGTGCAAGCGTACCGCTCTGCTTGCGAGCGCACCGGATTTCAATGGATTTCGCAACGGCAGGCAGAACCATTTTCAAGATTGTATAGAGAGACATCATGAATATTCAAGCAAAAATGTTCGACATTATGCGAGAGTTCAATAGATGTATTCAATCCTTC